GGAATCTCAACAGGCTCGAGAAATGGACTAATGACAAAACTCATGAAGTTCAGGAAATCCAGACACCACAGTTGCGTACTTGAGAAGGAGTGACTGTAACAATACAGCCTGGGCATCAACTAGCTAAAAAGCAGCTTTGCAGCAAAGGATCTGATGGTCTTGGTGGATGACCAGGAGAGTGTGAGTTGGCAGCAAACCCTTGCAGCAACAAAGACAGACCATGCACTGTGCTGTATTAGCAAGAATGTAGTCAGTGGTTTGATAAGTTACTGCTCCCTGGTGTTTGTCACTTGTGAAACCACATCAGAAGTATCGTGTCTAGGTTTGGGCTGACCAGCACAAGACAGGCACTGTTGTAGTAGAGTTAGCCCTGTGGAGGGGCCACTGAGATGATGAGGCTGTGAAAGCACATGACCTAAGAGAAACAGTTGAGAGAGCTCTTTGTTAAATCTTAGAAAGGGAAGGCTAAGAGGGGATCCTGCTGCTGCCATCTCCCTATACTCCCTACCCCTTTGAATATGGAGTTGGCCTTTTCTTGGAAATGCGCAGTAAAGGTAGCAGAAAAAAATGGGCAAAAATGGACAAAACCAAGGGAAAGTTGAATGGATAGGAAAGAAAAAGTTTTTGCAATGAAAGCCGTTAAATGTTGACAAAGGTTGCCTGGAAGGGTTTTGTACTCTGTGGAAATGCTCAGAACTGGATTTGATCCTGAGTTGCCTGCCCTCATGCTGAAGTATGTTTCTTATTTCTTCAGTTAGTACATTGAAATACCTCTTGTTTTTAATTTTTTGCTGAATGGACTTCATGAAAGAGTAGCAAAATTAATGCAAATGGCGTCAAAAATTCCTGGGATTATACTGGTAATATTGTGAGTATACGGGAACAAACTGGGTCCTTCTTTACTTTTATTTTGTCAGAGGATTTAAAATTTCAGGTGTAACATATTAGAGGAAGCTTCAAATAATAGGAGTTTTGAGAACCTGTGAAGTGACGTGTCAGTCGTGCAGGTTACAGATGAGTAGTGTGTTGCAGGGCGATGAGCTGTGTGCAGTAACAGGGGATGTTTTCTAGCTGACTTTCTTGCTCTTCTCCAGAGGGCAAAGTGTAGTTGTTGGCCTTTGTCTGGCCTCAGCCTAGCCTTCAGGCAGGCTCTGAGCTTGCCGGAGCCCTGGCCTATGGCTGGAGGTGGGCTGCAGTCTGGGATCTCTGGCTTGGGCCCTTTCCTAGGGGGAGTGCAGTTGAACGTGACCGTCAAGAGCTGATGGCTGCTACTGCTGCTGCATGGTGGTGTGGAGGCCATGGACAAGGGATTTCAAAGCTTGGCGTTGGTCCCTCCAAGTGCTTGTGCTGAGAACATTTATTGCCACTTTCCGTGCTTTCTGCTGTACCCTGATACACTGTGTGGGTAAAGCTTACATTATAGTAAAGGTGGATTTTTTTTCTTTTCTTCCTTGTTTTCTGAACACAGGAAAGACTGCAGCCATATTAAGTCATAAATGTGCTCAGTCCTGATAGACCAAGTGCTAAAGTCCTCTTTAACTCGCTTGTTTCCTGCTGCATCTAACAATGGGTTTCTTGTGTGTTTACCAAAATAATTCTTATTTACTGTAGAACCTTCTCATTCTAGTTCTGTTCAGAAACATTGAATTTCCACTGTGCAAGGAGGTTGGCTAACCTTCAGTGCAGATGCTCTCTCTCTATATATAATTTCAGTCAGATTTTATAAACTGATCAAGTTCTTTTTTAACGGACGTGTAAGTTGTATGGTGGACATACTGATGCATGTCAGTTTGTCTCATTTGTCATAGGTGCATTGAATAGGAAAATAAAAGCTTTTTTTTGGTTAGCAATTAATGAATAATAGGACTTGGTACTGTACTGTGTTGTTGAGTGGTAGTACTTTTTTTACATTGGGAATTGTATGCCTTTAAGTATTCAGAAGATGTTGAGTGCCATTGGTTTTTGAATGTCACTAAAGTAATGTTTCACCAGGGAGATATTTCATTTCCCCCTTCCTTATCTTTCAAGGAACCAACATTTTTTGGCTAACATGTATCAAGGCTGCATCTGTATCCAGACTGTATATTTCCAGACAGGATAGTTTGAGCAGAAGATGCACAGTGCAGTCAAAACAAAACACATGTGACAAATCACAAAGGTGCTTTTAAAAGAAGAAAGCACATGCAGAAAGTGGCATTTCAGATCATCTGGTGTAGTCTGGTCTAGAGACAGATGAGTGTAGCTGAATTATGAGGTGAAACTTTGGTGGGTAAAGGCATGGAACTGTTGCTGCAGATTTGAGATTGATGAATTTGACGATTATAGTCTGAAAAATAGAAAAGTAAATGGACTGGTGACCAGGCTGAGATCTTTCTCTTCTACAGTGGTGTTTAAACAGTAAAACATGAGTGAATAGTAGTTGAGGAAAAAATAAAAGTCCAGATTACCATGAACAGCTTTTTCAGAACAGAAAATGAGAGGGGGAAAAAAAAAAAAAAAAAAAAAAAAAAAACCACACAAAAAACACTCTGTTGAAGCTTTTGCTATTTGGCTGGTCTCTTAAAGCTCAGTATGGAAGAGATTTTGATTTAAGAATCGTCAGTTAGCTGGAGGTGTTAAAGAAAAAGAGAACCAACAGGTTTTTGTCTTTCTACTTGATAGGACACATTGCAGGACAGTACTGGTCCTTACAGCTTACTGTGTAATAGCATAGTACGTGGGTCGTAAACAAGTCCAACTGACATGAGACTAAAATTTGCTGTACTTAAAAGGTGAGATAATGCTGATGCATTTATACTTCCTAAGGGAAAGCTTTGCCTCCACAGTACTGGATCTCCTGGTCTTTCTGTCCCTTCCCATAACCTCTAAGGACATCTAAAGGTTATAGTGCGGCGAGCACTTTTCCAGTTGTCAGCTTTTTGCTCTTCCCCTTTTTCAAACCTATTTTATTTATTGTTAGTTCAGATTCACGGTATTTAGACATCCTTTGCAAGACATGACCTGGTCTTTTCAAGTACCAAATAGTGAGGTGATGACTTTTACAGCTCTCTAGAGAAACTACTACTCAACACGTTTCAGTAAAACAAGTTTAGTGGTCCTGGATAAGTGCAAGGTAGAGGATGACCAGTTTCTTCAAGTTCAGCAAGCATGCTTGGTGCAGCTTTGCTGGGCAGCCTGGTATTATGTTCTACTGCCATGTCTGACAAGTGGTGGTAAGCCTTGTAGGAGAAAGAGGATGATGAGAATTGTAATGCCATACTGAAGACTTTGGATGGCTGGAGCCTTAACAAGGTCTGAGCGGTAGCTACATTTTTAAAAGACGAGATATGGATGGTGATCAAAGTCATGATGAGGGATGTGTAACTTAAACCTAGTTGCATAATTTAATCCAAATGCTATATTTATGTGTGTGTGCGTATGTGTATATTTTTTGAAACCACAGTAGGCATTTTGTGAAACAAAGGCCATTTTTTTTCGTAAAGTGAACATCAGAAGCATATTGTGTCACGTTCAGAAAGCTACATAGGGCTTTGAATCCACTGTTGTTTTATTAAGGGGTAAGGGGGGAACACTGACTTCAGGTTAATGTTGCAAATCATTATAGCTTAGAACACAGGAAATTTTATACCAGAAACAGGGAGATGAAAGAAAAATTGCAAACCAAAACAAAGTACCATGTGTCTTGTGTTACATCTGAATACTTGATGCTGTGATTGTTTTGGTTAGTGTACTTAAAATTCAGGCAAGGGCTGCTCCACTCAAACGTTAGCAAAATAAAATTAGTTCTAATATTTCATGTGTTTTGGTTTTATTTACAGATGACATGGCAGAACTTCTTCTTGGGGAGTCCAAACTAGAACAATTTTTGAAGGAAAATGCTCTTAAACAGAGTAGTAGTCCACGGGGGCTCCATCCAAAGCTGACTGAGGTCAGGAAACATCTCACAGCAGCGCTTGATAGGGGAAACCTAAAGGTATGTAAGTCAGCCTGGGCAAGAATTAGAAAAGCTGAAAATGGCTGGAGTGCTCTGCTGGCCATGGAGGAAAATGTGGAAAGTGCTTTTACGGTGTTTTGTTATCATTGCTGTTCCTAGAACACCAGCACGATGCTATTTCATGGCTCTGTGTCTCTTTGTGGGTTTTTGTTAAATTTCTCCATTCTTCTTTCATTAGAAGAGTAAGAAAATTGTCATTGACTTCTGGGATGCTTAAGTGACGTACTTAAAACCTGTTCTGTGGAAGTCTTTCTTGGTATATATAACTGTATTGGTCTCTGTTGTGCATTAAACAGAAGTGTTAAGAAAATGCAAAATACTTCACAAATGTCTCTAAGAGTCAATTAATATAAGGAACCTTTCCTGAAAACTCATGGTTGTGGGTGTGGAAAGCGAGGTTAATATTTGAGAGCATTGTCTGTCATAACCTTTTGATGTTCTTAACCGTTTTGGCTCTTCACTTGCTTAACTGTTGTCGCTGCTGCATCAGCTTATCTTTTCTGTATGCGTTGTCCGACTTTTGAGAGACCAGAAGGACCTCGTTTTACAGTCATCTGTTACCTTGTGTTTCCTGTGATTTGTGGGAGTATTAATTTTTCTGCTTTCTTCATTCTTCCATGAATCCTTTTTTCAAGACATTTCTTCTGCTCTGATACTCTGAAATTGTGCAAATTAAATGTGTAGGCTGTGGAACACGTACCATTAAATTTTGATGCTATGTTATTTTCAGCTATGCTTGTGGTGTCAGAAAAAAATCATTGGAGAGGTTGTAATGATACGCTGCCTTTAAACAGTTTTGTCACCTGGCAAAGCTGGATTCTGACTGAGAGGTATTTCTGGTGCATGTGTAAATAAATATGTGAATATATAAAATAACTGGGTAATGCTTTTCAGTAGCTTGGCAGAGTGAAACTTTGTGGATTCACGCCCTACTGCAAGCTTCCCAAATATTACATGAAGACAGGATTTTGTTGGTTTGTTGCTCTGTTACAAGAAATATGCCAAGGGTTTCTACAGTGAATATATAGAGAAAACAGACCAAATAATCCGAAAAAATCAGGTTTGTTTCTCAGGAAAAAAAAAAAATCTTATTCCTCTTCCTTTTAGCCAGAATTTCTACAAGAAGCTAACCTAATTATGGCTAAGTTAAACTATGTGGAGGGTGATTACAAAGAAGCTCTGAACACGTATGCCAGAGTTGGAGTTGATGACTTGCAGATAGCTGCAGTGCCACCATATAGGCTACGGATGATTGCTGAAGCATATTCTACTAAAGGTAAGCTTGGTCTTTCTAGCATAATAATGTGGAAATAGTTTTTTAAAAAGTTAGTTAATATCATGTCTGAAGGTAAAGAGTTTTTTGGTGTTCTTATCAACATGGAATACCACATTTGTAGATAAGCTAGAGGGTGGCTTGGCTCCTTTAAATTATTTTGTTTGTGCTTGAAACAATGCATTTCTGCCACTTTTTTTTTATTTTTCTTACATTAATACCTGTGAAAAAATTCATAAAGTGAAGTTGACTAATAAAAGAAATTTCAAATTATGTAGTGAAAGTTGTAATGCTGGTCTTGTGTCTTAAGGTGGCAGTGCCTCTTCAGTTTAGAAAACTTATTAATAGATTAAGCTGGGTCAGTGTGCTGAGGAAAGTGGCAGTCTGTATGCTGTAGGTTTATTAGAATTTGCTGTGTCTAAATGTTTACTTTGCTGTGTTTAAACCTGGGTTTGGTGTGCATATGTAGTTTTTGTTATGGCAAGAGCAGAGTGAAAGTCAGCAAACACAATCTGCAGAAGGCACCAATAGTATTCATTGAGAAGTGGTCAAGGATTGTTTCTAATATTAGTCTTGGAAGAGTGACTGTTTTCCACCATCACAGTCCTCTAGTGAATGTTAGACAAGCATGAATCATTCTCTGTAGCAGTGTCAAGGAAATAAGAGAACTGGTAGCAGAGATAAGAGGATGCTTCCTAAGTGTGGGCAACATTTAGATTTAAGTGGTAAGGGAGTACATGGGCAGTTCTTATATACGACATGAAACTGCCCAGTGCTCTCATACAGCATCTGTGAGGGATTTTTGGCAATGACTGGTATGGGTAAACTTCCATTCAGCTTTGGTTTTGGTTCTGTAGTTTGTTTTTTAAATCTCTGAGGATGTCTGTTGAATTGGTCACATTGTTTCCATGAAAATGCAGTCTTGGACTTGATCAAGTTTAAGTTTATATCCCCGAGGGATAAGGAATCCCAGTAACTTAATTGAATCTTTTTCCAGAGCTCAGCTTTTCTGGCTCTGATTTATTTGACCCCATTAAGGATATATAACAATTGAAATGTAGAGGCATCCATTTTGCAGACAGGATTAGCATTACTGATTTTACTTAATGTAAAAATAATTTATAAACAGTACAGTTAGTTTATAGTAAAAAATATAGAAAATAGTAAAATGTGTGTATTTTCTACCCTGGAATGTTTTGTAGGTTCAGCTTAAAAAAAAAACAAAACAAGCAAACAAACAAAAAACACAAACACCCCCCCCCCAACCAAAACACACACACACAAAAAAACAAGCAGAAAGAACCACAAACAAAACAAAAACAAACCCCACAACAACAACAAAAACCCAAACAACAAAAAACAGAGATGACTAACATGTCTTCTCTCTAGACATGGTGGGAGCTTTTTTGCTTCTGATTTCAAGTTTTATACTTAAATGTTGAAATCTGTCATATCAAGCCTGATCTAATCTTGATCAGACTTCATTAGTTTGGTCACTTCTACTGGGTTACTGGCTACCAATTTACCTGAGCAAATTGAGCCAAGTATTGGAGTTTTGTTTTTGTTTTGTTCATGTTCAGAATCAGCTTTTTTTGCTACTGTGTTTCCAGTTTGAATAGAGTAGTAATAAACTTTAATATTCTTTCTTTCCATGATGGCAGGTTCCAAGAATATTAATATTGTCTTCTGTGTGTTCTAGAATGAGGTAGAAGTCATAGAGCAATCTTAATTTAGTATTCAAAGTCTAAGTAAGTTTACAGTAATTGACAGCTAAATGGCATATGTTTCTACCCAATAGCATACATTTAATTCTCACTTTTCTCCCTTGCCTCTGGAATTTCTCCTTTCTCTTTGTATAAGTGGACTATATAACTTTTCAGTCTGAATTCAGAGCTGCTTCAGAGGTGATTTAGCCTTGTAGGTATTGCCCAACTAAATACAAGTTATTCTTACAAGGATTTTGTGCTTCACTGGGATTTGTATTTTTGCTTGAAAGTTCAAGGATAACTTGGTTATCTAAAGATAAAACTCTTAGATTTTATTTCTTTGGCAGTCATGAATGTAGCACTATCTTATTAAGCAACGAGCTGTGCTGCCTGGTTGCAAGTGTCAACCTGACTGAGGTGTTCAGCGCAGCACCCTGCACAGAGGCAGTTAAAAATACCTGCTCCAATCGCCCCATTTCAATCCAGTTTGACGCAAATCTAGTTCCAGTGGATTTGCCGTCTTGTGTGCTGTTGTGTAGTGATCTGATACTGATGTACTTAACCTCTGACAAAGGCATAGGGCAGATAACTAATAGCAGTTTTTAATTGCCTTAAAAAAAATTTCCTTATTTAAGGTGAGATTGCCTCCAAGTGCTTACCATCACCATCTGGAGTTTCATTTGGTAAGCTCAGATGTGATAGGTGGGTTGTGTGGGGTTGGTACAGGGTACGTCAATGAGGTTACGCTGTAACCCTGGGCAGTTAACAGTTCACAACAAGCCCTTAAGAATGACCTGCTTTCCCTATGTCCCATCTTACTCTTGCTTGTGGAACACATAAAATGTGTCTTTCTGTTCTTCACAACAAAGGAAGATTCAGCATGTGTGTTGAGGCAGCGAAGTGCAAAAATAGGTCCAAGGTCAGGTTCAAGCTAAATTTTGCTAGAGTTTTATCTACTGATGGATAGACAGGAGGGAAAGAGGAACTGTAGTGGCAATTGTGGGGAGAGAAGATGTATTCAGAACGTGGAGGAGGAAGTGAGATCCCAAACACTTGCTTAACTGTGGGGGTGGGGTGTGTCTATTTATGTATGTGTGTATATATGCATACGTATCAATATATGTCTGTATGTCTTTATGTGGTCAGAAAGTACAGATGTGACAAAAATCAAAAGAGGAAGATTCTTCCTGCTTCTTCAGACTCTCCAGAGTGAGGGTATCTGTATGCATTACCCATCAATGTTGTTTGTAAGCCTTACTGCAGAATAATCATTAAATTGCAATAGTATTCATTACAAAAGTCTTCATTGCAGTAGTTCAGAACATGAAATTTAGTGTCTTCGTACCCCTGCAGACTTCAGCTTGGAATAACTCTGTTATTAAACCTAACAACTAAAGCCATCTATTGCCTGCCTTTCAGCCGCAAAGGGAATCCTCACATTTTTTTAATTACATAAATGAATTAAATTCATATCTGTCTTTAAAAGAATGCATTTAAGTCTCTGTGCTGCCTACAGCTTTAGTTGAAGACAACCTATTTAGAAGAATGTAACTGAGAGGCATAATGTGGAATGATAATAAGTCAGGCAAAGGATTCAAAGGCTTCCAAACCCATCAAGGAAGATCAAATGATTGTTTTTCTTTTCTTGGAAAAGTCTAGATAGTGAAATGCTGCTTCAGATCTTTCAAAGAAAGCTTCTCAATGGTTTGTCAAAATGAAACATTGTAGAGTTTCCACAAACTTCTAAGAAAAGTCCTGTCAAATTACCCTTGAAATCTTCTCTGTTTATGTGCAGCTCTTTGGCAGCCTGTGATGTGTGGGGAATCACAGGACCTCGGTGCCCGAGCAGTGCTGGGAAGTGGCTCCTGTCTGCTGCTCCTCCTAGGGAAAGTGTTCAGAGTTGTTAGTGTGGTGTTGAACGAGCTGCTGTATTTCATCAGACTGAAAAGTTCGTGGGCAGTTGTTTTCAATGGTGGGGGGAAAAAAAATTCCTTTGGAAAGAAATTCAAGGAGCAGGACAATTTAGTTTTGTGGCTTTTGTGGTGTGGTGTTTGTTTTTGGTTTTGTGGGTTTTTGTTTTGCTTTTGGCCACAAAAGGCACTGCTAGTAGAGATAGCTTATGTGTTACCTTGACTAGAAGATGCAAGAGTGGTCTGATGAAAAGTTAGCTGCTACTGTGTCTGTTAAAACAACAGAGAGTAGACTAGACATGTGAATATGTACGAGGCAAAGCCTCAAACTTAATTAGTGTAGGTAAGGACTCAGCAGTGATGGTTATCCCGCATGCAAGAGTTGCAGGGATGTAACTACCACACAGTCCACTGAATGTAGTCTAATTGTGTTGTTTTCCTGCTTTTCTTCACCATTTCCTCAAATTCACCAGTCAAAGACAGAAGTGTAGTGGAGGAAAGACAGTCTTTTATTTGGTTAATTTGGTGACAGGCATACTTTTTTGGTCTTACACTGATTTTTTTTTTTTTTTTCTAATTTTATTTTTCAGTATGTGCTGATAGAATGCAGGTCTGGATTAGATTTACTGGTTTTCTTGGTGTTTTTTTTAAGAAAAGAGCTAATTTTGATGCCATGCTTCTGAGTAATGACTATGTGTATGTATAAGGTGTTGTGTGGGATAGAGCATTAATAAAATCATAGTTTTGGTATTAAATACTGAATTTTCTTAGATTAAGAAGCTTACTTGAAGAAATTGAGTGGGGCAATTTTTTTGATGTCACATAAAATGTGGAAAGGAAAAGATGGAGCTTTTCAAATCAATGGACTGCTTAGTATTTGCAAAAACATGAGAATACATACCTGGATCTGTTGGTTAGCTCCCTCCCCATCTGCTTGTAATTATAGTTGGCACAAAAGCAGAGGAAAAGCATCCGAAAAACAGTTTTCTGTAGTTAAATGTCTGTGGTTGGAGGTGTCAGCTTATTTCAGGACGGTGTGATGAGGGAAACAAAAATAAGCATAAAAGAAAGACATGGTTGAGAGGATGGGCAAGTTTGCACTCTTGTGGCAAAGCATAGCCTGAAAGTATGTGTGTGAATATTGCTGGAGCTGTCTCCATGAAGCTGTTGCCTTTTCTTCTGTTGTAGTAGCACTTAAAATTGTGATACAGGAGCAGGTCATACCTTTTAGTATGAAGTTTTAAGAAACAGCTCAGGAAAAAGTGTGGGTTTTTTCTGCTACAGGTGAAGCTTGGACATTGGTACTGGTTATTAGAGCTGTCTTAGGCAGCGAGAGCAAAGTTAAGACATTAGGCTGGGCAGGGGGAGGAGGAGGGAAGAATGTTCT